CTTCCATAAAGAATTGCTTAAATCCTCTTCTAATCTCCAATAATAAAGGAAGTATATTGTTATCTTATTAGTCTTGTCTGGCTTCTTAGATTACGAAATCTAACCTTGTAATCAGTGTATTAACAATGGTTTAATTTATTGTTATTTAATAAATTAGGAAACTTTGAATATCTCTCCCTATCATAGAGCAAACACCTGTACACTTACTTTATATAAACAAATAACAAGAAGCCAAAAAGACCATACACCTGTCCATCTGGTGACCTAAAAAATCACCTTTTAAAAATCAAGAATCTTTGGGCTTTATATATGTCACATATAGATTTGTGCTAAAGTAATTTAGCTAGTCCACAACCAGATGTGGTAAAGCGGAGGAGGCTACTCATTCTTTAATCAAACGTATCAAATTCGCGTTTTCGATCTAAAAAAATTATTTAAAAAGAGTGTTTTCTTTTGAATGAAATTCTACATGAACGAGTCTGAAATAATTGAACTCCAATATACGAATCAGACATCAGGTTTTTGAAAAGAAAAAGAAAAGTTAGTCCAACCACCCTATCCATTATATGAAATTAACTTCATTGGGATAATTTATTTAATTTCGTTAGTATCTTAAATTGTATATAGGCTTCATTTAGTAACTAATGATTATCTAAAAGCAAGTTCTGATTTGAAAAGATTTTTGGTATAGAATTTGAAACTATATTTGTGGCCTTAGATCTTGAAATCCACTTTTTTAAAATTTTCAAAAGACCTTATCCCACAATAAAATTAATGTTGAAGCCTAATTTTTGGTTAATATTGTAATTAAATTTTAAAAAACATTAGAGAGTAATGGTACAAGCATAATAATAGAAATATTTTAGAAGCTAAAGAAATGTTTTTATTTTGTACTTATCTCTCTTTAGGATTAAACTTTTCAGCATTTCGCTTTCAGTTACTCCTTTGACAAAGTTGGTCAGAAAATTGGGCACACATACAACCTATGTTATTTTTTATTTTGATTTATATGATATTAATAGAATTTGAAGAGTCATTCAATTTTCTAATATGATTTTTACATATTTAAAGTTGTTAATTATTGTAATTTATAATATTTTTTTATGTAACTTTTAATAGTATATGTATGTAGTCTCTTTATCCAAATTTATATGGTAGTTCCTAGGGGTGTGCAAAAACCGATTTAACCAATAAATCGAGTCGAAAAAAACAATATTGATTTATTGATATTGGGTTATTGGGCTAACGGTTTTTAAACGGTTTTGCAAAAAAATTTATTGAGTTATTGGTTCGGTTTCCTGTTTTATGATTTTTGTTAATGGTTAAACCGATGACCCAATAAGACTATACTAAATTTACTAGTCTTATTGTTAATGGTTAAACGATTGTTACTTTCACATTTTTTTTTAATGGTTAAATGATTGTTACTTTCACACTTTTTCCTTTGAATGTGTCTAGTATCTAAACTTGCAAGAAAAATGATTGTTACTTTTATGATTATTACTTTCATGCCAAATGTTGGAAAAATCATATGGTTTATTTGACAATTTTCTTATTGTGTATATAATATATATGGGTATTTTCTTATTGGTTAAACCGAAAATCGAACCGTTAAGTTCCATAAACCGATAAGAAATATGTTATTAGTTTGGTTATCGGTTTGACGTATTTACAAATCGAAAACCAATAAACCGAACTAATAACACCTAAAACTGAACCGAATCGACCGATGCGCACCCCTAGTAGTGATAGATTATATCTTTCTTTTTTTAAAAAAAAAGTTGTTAAGTACTGCGACTTATAGTACATTCTAGGTCATTTTAAAATAAAATATGTTACTTACTTTGTTTCAATTTATGTTGCACATACAAAATTTTGAGAGTCAATCATAATTTTATTTATCTTTTAAATATTTTAAACTGTTGTGATTCATAGTACATTTTACGTAAATTTCAAATAATATATGTTATTCTCTGTCTCAATATATGTGGCACTAATAAAATTTTAAGAACCATTTAATTTTTTTACGTATTTTAAATTTTTAGGTTGGTAATTATTTTGAGTTATCATACATTTTATACCATTTCAAATAATATATGTTACATCCTTTTTTTCATTTTAAGTTGCTAATTATTGGTGATTAAAGTATTTTTTACATATAAATTTAAATTACTAATTATTGTAATTTATAATATTTTAAAAAGTAAATTAAAACAAAAAAAAAAAGAAGCAAAAACAGAGAACAATCGGAAGATGCTTAAAGTCCTTTTTATTAATAAGTAAGTAAAGTAAAGTAAATTGATATTCTCATAAATAATTTCTTAGATTTTCTTATCCAGATTTGCTTGATTAAAATTTCAAAATACCTATTATTTACTTATTTGTTCATAAAATCACTTATTATTAGAGAAAAACATAGTAAAATTTTCCTTGATCATGAACATGAGTGTTACCGTCTAATTTCATTAAATCATGTATTCCACATTTTATCTTTTCTATATAAGAAAAAGGGAAAAGGGTCTGAAAAATACTTCAATTTTGGTCGAAATTAATGTTATGATACCAAACTTTGGAAAGGACTTTTACCCCCTGTACTATTTAATAGTGTATTTTAAAGGTATATATATGCATACGTGAACATCATAAATATTGCATCATTTTAAATAGTAATGTGTCAACGTGGGCACATATATACCTTTAAAATACACTATTAAATAGTGCAAGGGGTAAAAGGTCCTCCATAAAGTTTGGTATCGTAACAGTTATTTCGGCCAAAATTAAAGTATTTTTTAGATCATTTTCCCTTAGAAAAATATCTCAATTGATTGACTATTTAAAAGTTCAATTCTCATAACCTCATAATAACTTTTTCCATTTCTTTTTTTTCCTACCACTAACTATTTTTATTTTTAATAAAATAAAATAAAATCTTCTCTATTTTTATTTTCATTGATTTGGGGCTTTCCGTCAAATGAGGGGTATATATGGTGAAATTAATAACAACAAGGGTAAAAATAACTTCACTTTAACGGTAAGGGCATAGTCAACCAATAAAACAAAATTGAAGAATATTTTTGATCCTTTTCCTTATTATTTTAATTAATAATAGTGATAAAAAGACAATTTTGATAAGTACTTCTTGTGATAAAAATGACTGAAATTTAAAAAAGGTATTCAAAAGGGATAAGTGTCTGAAAAATACTTCAACTTTGGTTGGATTTGCTGTTGCGATACTAAACTTTTATAAGGACCTATTACCTCCCTAGACTATTTAATACCGTATTTTTTACCTCTTGAACTATTTAATAGTGTATTTTAAAGGTATATATGTGTCCACGTGGGCACATTACTATTTATAATTTTGCATTATTTTTTATGTCCACGTGGGCAAATATATATGTTTAAAATACGGTATTAAATAATTTAGGGAGGTAATATGTCCTCATGAAAGTTTAATATCGCAATAACAAATTCAACCAAAATTGAGATATTTTTCAGACCATTATCCCTATTCAAAAACATTACTAAAAGACAAATAATGTCAATCTGTGGGTATTTTGTTTTGTCAAACTACAAAGATCCCGTGAATGATAAATTACATTCTTTAAGGCTATTACGGGAAAGCCATAAATATCCAACTTAAAAAAGGAAATAAATCATTACTTTCTGTGTTCCGTTGTTCTTATATACAGTTCTTACTAAAAATAAATACTTCATCCGTTTCACAAAGAATGACCTCCTTTCCTTTTTAGTCAGTTTTAAAAAAATGACTTCTTTCCTTTTTTTGTAACATTTTACTTTTTGCTTTCCACGTGGCATGTTTAAGACAACAAGATTGAGGGCAATTTTGTACATTTGACATAACTTTAATTTAGGACCACAAGATTCAAAAGTCTTCTTTAATTTCTTAAACTTCGTGCCAAGTCAAACCAGACCAATCTTTTTGAAACAGAGGGAATAGTTCTTAATATTTCTCATTTCATAAAATTATGCATAAATAATAGTACTAGTTTTTTTATTTTAGCTTTGAGAGTTATTAGTCTTGAAAGTATGTTATTAACCAATATAGGAAAACTAAATGATTAATTCATGTTCATTGATCAATTTAATTAATCAAAATAAATTAATTAATGTTCATTTATTAAGTATTTGATTCAAGAGAATACTAAATGATGGTATAATGAAAAACTTACCTAGCTTCTTTAGGGACGTGAAATCTAAAATAATGACATATAAATAAAAATGAAAGGAGTAAAAAAAACACCAGTACTTGAAAATAAAAATAAGTATGTTTTTATAATTGTATATCTTTATACTCTATATTTTAAGGGTTTTCAATATTTATTTTATTAATTTTCTTACTAAATATTGATTTTTTTGTGTGTTAAGTGACGCTTATTCTTAAAAAAAACGAAATGGGAGGGGAGAGTACTTTTTTTTATTTTTCATCCGATGTTCAATATTCACAAAATTTGATTAAATTTAGATTTGGGCAAGAAAACCCACAACATAGGAAGGTAAGACACTAAGATACTATATAACAAAGACGATTTCATATTAAGATGACTTAGAGTACTTACCACTTCATTATAACTTTGGTTGGTAACTATTATTTATTATATTGAAAAATAGATGCAACTGATATTCATATTGAAATTCGATAAGTTTGGATTTGAATAAAAAAAATCCAACATAAAAAGATAAAGTGCTTCGTAAAAAAAACCCCTCTCCCTCTGTCCTTAATTACTTTTCTACTTTTGAATTGACACCCTATTAAAAAATTAATTAATGACATAGTGAATTTACCATTTTACCCCTATTAGTTATGAAGTGGATAATTTTTTTGCATTTTTCAAAGTAATTAGTTATTTAATTAAGGGTATAATAGATAAAAAAAATTATTCTTTCTTGATTTATCAAAATGGATAAGTAATTAGGGACAATTATAAATAAAAAAGCAGACGGAGGGAGAGGGAGTATTTATTATAGATTGTTGAAAAACAGATGCAAGTTCCCAAGAAAGAAAGTCCGAGATCTCTCTCTCTCTCTCTCTCTGAGCTCTGTTGCTCAATTAAGTTGTTATTGGCTTCACTACTCTTCAACCCCACCCCACATCCTCAATTTCCTTCTACTGACACCACCGCCGCCACCATCTTCTCTGCCGCTCTCCATTTTCCGATGACACCACCAACTCAGTTACCTCCATTTCTCTCTTCTTTCTTTCTCTTTACCCCCTGTTTCACTGTCAATTTCTACATGTGAATTATCTTCAATTATACCTTCATACTTCCTATTGTCTTTTTCATCCACATGGGGTTTTCCTACTAGAACGATCTAAGTGAAAATCTTGAATTTTTTGTGTTTGATAAGGATAATAAAGAGTGTTTTCTTTTTTGAAGAAAAATGGATCATAGTCGTGTTCAGCAGCAACCAATTACTTCTGGTTTAACTAGGTATCGATCTGCGCCAAGTTCTTATTTCTCGACCCTATTAACTACTACTAATCCTGTTACTGGTGGGGGTTGTGGTTATGCAAGAGATGATTTCTCTCACTTGCAAAATTCTAGTGCTTCTTCATCTACTGATATAGAGAAAGTTTTCGCTAGATTCGTAGCTAGTATTGGTAACTCCAACTCTAACTCAGGGAATTTCCATACAAATCAACAAATTCAGGAAAACCCCACGAGTAATATGAATGTTAGATCGGATTTTATTGTTCCGAAACAAGAGGTTACACCGCGATTAGTGCGACATAGGAGTAGTGATTACTCAATTGTTTCACAACAGATGAATTATCAAAATCAGAGTCAACAGTTCATTTCACCTGTGAAAAAGGAACCAGAGACTGATCATGATTCAGCTTCACAAATGAAATACCAAAGCCAATCTCAACAAATTGAGAAGTCAAGGGAAGTCACAGATAAGTCATTTGTATTTGCGAATTCGGCTAATTTGACACCTGGTAGTAGTAGTGGTGGCAGTGGTGGTGGTGGTAATTCGAATCTTACCCGTTATAATAGCTCGCCTGCTGGATTCTTTGCTCAAATCAATATCGAAAATGGTATGCATTTATCTTTGCTTAAACAGTGTTGATAGAATTTTGTAGCTTTATACTGTATGTTTTAATGTTTGTTATGAACCTTGTCTTGTGAGACTGTGTGAAGAAACCTCTATATCTATGAGTATGCTTGTGCTTTTAACTCATTTTGTGCTTATTGATTCATATAGTATGTACATGTATATGAAGAACATCATTAGTTGTTGCAGATAAGTAAAGGATCAATTTGATTAGAAACTATTTGGTTGAGTTGCCATTTAGTTTTCGTGTTTCGATATTACTGATGGGAATTGAAATCTAGATAACCTTAAGGTACAAATAGGATTCTTGATAACATTGATATCTTGCTTTTATGACACTAAAGACATCGAGGCGAATAATCAATGGAGTGGTAGAGATGGAGATTTATCTATTAAATTATTTTCTTGATAAGTGAGTTCTACTGAAATACCGTATAGGTAAAAGTTAGAGGGTCTCTTATTTTAATAAATCTTTGCCAAGAAGATGAAGAAAGAGTGATTTTTGCTTATGAGTTTTAAGTAAAAATTAGTGGTCATCATCTCTAACTGCTTAATCTGACTTTAGAGTTTAAGTTTGTTGCTAAAATTCAAGCAATTGACAGAATATGGTGCTATGCGAGGCATAGGGAGTTATGGAACTGGTACTAATGCTGCTACAGAAACTTCATTGTCGACTCCGAAAAGTTTCAAGACTCAAGTTGGATTCTCATCCGGGAAACCTCCTGCTTCTCCCAGGCTAATATCTCCAATCTCTGAATTTAGAGATAAAGTTTTGGAAGAAAAGAGCACGGGGAATGAACATAAAAACGACGAGAACTGCATTACAGATTTCCCCATGCCTTCTTGGGAAGATTCACACATTTTGTCCGACGATTTCCTCAAAGCTGAAGACATTGAGATTGAGCCATACTCTAATGAAGATGCATCCCATAATCAGGTATTTGTTATCTTGTTAGAGGAGTTGTCAGCGTGACTAATCATCGTCTTACACCTACGTGATTTTGATGATCAGAATAGTGAAGGGCTGGCTCGCCCGCCAATTCCCTTATCTCATCATTTGAGTTTGCCCACAAGTATCATGGAGAAGCTCTTGCAAGATTCAGTACACTTGAATGTCAGAGCAAAGAGGGGTTGTGCAACTCACCCTCGTAGCATTGCAGAAAGGGTAAACACTTTAGCACTAAAAACTCGAGTTTCCTTGTTAAAATTCAGCTCATTAAAATTGTGACTTTTGGATTTGATAAATTGTATATCATGGGAGACGGGCAGGGTAGTGAGATAAGTACAGAGCTTCTACCGGTTTTTGACATGCACCAGTCTTAATACGGATGCCAAATGTTTTGGTTTGGCCAGTTATTTTCAAGAAACTCAAGACATACGACTTACGAGTGCCCTATTTTTACTGTATTGTGTATAACCAAAATTGGACTTTCTCAAACCGTGCTAATGTTAATTTGATCCTTCCGACTTTTGACATGCATGGATCTTAGCATGTACTGATATAGTTTTAGTAATAATTTCAGGTGAGAAGAACACGAATAAGCGACAGAATGAGGAAGCTGCAAGAGCTTGTTCCCAACATGGACAAGGTAGAATCCTAACTTATTAATTTCACCGAAATCAGTTACAGTAGAAACGTAAAGTGTATTCATTTTGCTATTTCGATTTCATTGCAGCAAACAAACACAGCAGATATGTTGGATTTTGCAGTAGATTATATTAAAGAGCTGGAGAAACAAGTCAAGGTATATCCTACAGAATTTCGGATCACAATGAGCGCGAGTCCACGGGATTTATAATAACACTCCTTATTTCTTGTGTTCTTTGCAGATATTAGCAGAAATGCGCTCCAAATGTACGTGCATAAATAAGTAAAAAGCTACAGATCAAAAGGTGAAAGTAGGATGAAAGGGAAATGATAAATTGAAATCAGCTAGCAGAAGTGGATTCCCTTTGATACTTGAAGAAGACAATGGGGATGGCATTTTGGTGGGTAGAATATATAGAAGCAAATTCATTTGATATAACATAATATACTTTTTTATAAAAATGATGTTCGAATCAACTTTGCCCACCTCAATTATGTGATTTGCTTGTATGAATAATTATGTCCACTACAACCTCAAATGTACATATACTTTTGTCTATTTTACTTGGCTTTTCATGTCTATAGGTATAGCATGCTTGAGATGTTGGAACTTGTGTTCTTTGTGGATTACACTTCTAATATACTATCTCTGTCCCTATTTATGGACATGTTCCAATTTACTGGTCTATATTGACACATCTATTAAAAAAATAATTATTGACATAGTGAATTTATTAATTTATTTCTGTTAATTGATTGATAGAACTTTAAAATCAATTTACTGGAGGTTTTACTCTTTTTTTTTCAAAAATATTAACTCTTTAAATAATTGAGGATATAATAAGTAAAAAAAATTGTCTTTTCTTTTTCTTTTTGTTAAAATTGACAAGTAAAGAGGGATAAGTTAAAATAAAATAAATAAAAAGGGACAGAGGAAGTAAATGATTATAGTAAATGATAAAAATAAATTAAAAATTAAGTAATAAATTATTTTTTTAATTTTATAAATTGAATTTGTAAAAATAAACTCATATTTTTAATAGGATGAGCAAATTAAAAGTGGATTGAGATAGTGGTAACTTTGGATGAAAGGTGGTTTGATTCTTTTGTATGATGTATAAATATGTGTGCCACCTTTCAAAAGTTCACTCACTCTTTATTAGAGAAAAGGAATCACAATCTTGTAGGCCCCTCCTTTTCTTTGTTTTATTCTAATACACTTTTAATTGTCATAATTTTGTTTTAGAGTCAAACGATAATAATTTTGATTAATATTTTACGATATATATTTTTATCATATTGATATCCAAAAAATTGAATTTTATAATACTTTTCGTATAGTTTTTGAATATCCAATTTTTTTGTTTAAAATATTGAATTAATATAATCTAATTTAGTTTTGAAAATTAATCAAATTGACTTTTAAAAAACGAAATATGACAATTAAAAGTGGACAGATGGACTAATATCTTTCTTTTCAAGTTTGTTTGAAGCTGCAACAAGATTTACCTGAAACCTTTTCTGTCTCTTGTCCAAAAAAATGTATGATAAAAGAGCTTTATCAGAGTAAAAATAGGATAGGTTAGAATTTAATGGTCGGTTTGGTAAGGATAAGGAATAATATTTTAAAATAAAATGTAAAATTATTTATTCTATGTTTGATTTGACGTATTAATTAGTTTTAAGATTATTTATTCTATTATTTGTATTATAATGATGAGATAAATTATTTAATATATATGATGAAATAACTAACTACATGAGATAATTTTGTCTATCCAATCCCCATACATGTTATTTAATAGTTGTATAGAAGAAATACTATACATGTATTAAATCTTGCATAAGTAATACTATCATATTTGATAATTTGGTTAGCACGGTATAAAATTAAATTTGATTTACAATTTGATAACTTGCATAACTAATACATGTATAATTATCAGGAAATCTATGTCTAATTTTATGCAAAATAGAAGATAAAACAACTACTAAAGGGTCCCTTCAAGTTTAATGTAGTCCATCAGCCACTAACTTTGATGTATAATTCTGTGTGATTTCTTTTCAACTTCTGGTACTGATATTACTCTTTGTGGAGTTGCTAAAAATAAAATGGGAGTATTGACAAATCGGTGTGAAATTGAAAAAACAATATGTTGCAAATGTGTAATTATACCTACAAACACTTATATTAAGTCACTCCAAGTGCTATATCAAAGTTAGAGGTCAAAGGTGAGTCTTGCAACAAAAGTTCAAATTGAAGTTTTCCATTTAGGCAAAATATTTTTAAATAATCTTGTATATAGTATGACTTGGAACATGCATATGTCCTAATAAATAGGGAATTAAAAGGCATACTACCTATAAATTTAAATGTCTTTGAGTCTAGTTTCCAGAAAAACTAACTGCTCGTCCATCCTACTTTAAAGTATAAAGTTATGTTTGTTTTACTAAAGACATAAGCAGTACTTGATGTGCCTAGAAATTATCACATAAATAGGCATTGAAGACACTAATTGTTAAACTAAAAAGGGCTCAAATGAGTGAAAATCTATCACTCATCAACACCCCGAGTTAAACTTTTGCTTGTTCTCAAGTAAATCAAGAACATAATTAGTTCAACAAGGGTGTCTACAATAGTTCTCAACATGCGAGTGTCACCACAATACTACTAACAAGATATGCAATGACTCAATCATGCTCAAGAAGCTTCAAATAATGACTAATCAGTATCAACACGAGCTCAAGGTCACGCATGTTCTACAATAATGCAAAATCATGCTTCAACAAAAGTATTTAAGTGCCCTCACATCAAAAACGATTTCATGCTCTCACAAAGCATATCAATAAATAAGTTAGTAATCAATACAACTCTCTCTCTCTGAAAGAGAAATACATGCAAGCTCTTCACTTGGAGACTCACACCTCAATTGTCAAAGTTCTTTTCAAAGAAATGTTGTACTCATCTACACCTCTTCTCAAGTTCTTTTCATTCTTTTCACTTGGAGACTCACACCTCAATTGTCACTAATTTGTTGGACACCCATTTTATTTAGTTACACTTTCTTTTTCATTTCAATTTTCAAGCTTTTGCTCAATTATTTTTTATAAGGAGTAGTTCCTTATTTTTGCAACAAATCTCAAGGTTGAGCCTCGCTTTTCTTTCTTCACACTTGACATTCTTTCCTCACTAATCAAACAAATCAGTTCTTAGAAAAGGATTTTATGGGTGAGAAGTTGGGAATAATTTGGTTCAAGAAGTTTCAGCAAATGGTTTTGGCTCAAATGGTGCCAAGATGGTTGCACACCCCCACAACGTAGTCACAAAATGTATGAGTAATAGATTGATTGGTGACTCTTTTTTTTTTTTTTTAAGACAATGAATTATGTGTGTAGTAGAAAAAATGGATGCGTTAAAAAACAAGTCTAAACTTCTATCGTATATAGTGACATGTATATCTCTTTTTGTGACATTATATAATGCTAAATGCTTAGTACAAGTTTGAGAGAAATTAAAAATAAGTTAATGTAGTCCACTACTATTATGTGTTAGTTATTTTTGTTATTTCTGTGCTTATACATGTAATCTAAAATTTGCATAGTTCTTCATGCCACATATACAAGGATAACTTAATTAAAAGATGAAATATATGTCATATTTGTGGGAGGG